AAAAAAAAAAAAAAACACAATTACTTTGTCCCTTCTTTGAAGCCTTCCCGGACTCTCCAGAACACACACACCCCACCCCCATGGCCAGCCCTGCTTGGTCTCACCACCTATATGACCCTCCCGGGTGCTTTATCTGTGCATCTGACTTCCCTCCCAGACTGGGAGGCCTGGGGGAGGGCTGGGCTGCTGTATTCAGCTCAAGGCCCCAGGACCTGTCAGGGCTGGCCAGAGCAAAGCTGTTAATAGTTAATACCAGCAAGACCCTTACAGGTGAGTGGATCCCACCAGTATTTGCCCTGGGCAGAGCAAGACCCAGAGGTCCTGGTGGACCACATGCCACCCCGTCGCGAGGCTCCTAGCCCACCTTGGCGCTGAGGTCCTTTGCAGGAGGGGCCCCAGGGGACTTGATGGGATGCCCTTGCCACTAACTCCACACCGGGAAACCCAGTTTGGAAAGAAGCTTCATTTGAAAAGACGCCGCGTCATGTCGGAGCTCGTCTTCCTCGGATGTCGATCGTTTCTATCATAACAGCTAAAACCAGGTCCATTAGTAAGCCTACAACCTGAGAGAAATGCCCCAAATTGCTTCGCAGGCACTGCGGCTGTGGAGGTGGAAGGGGCTGCAAGTCTGCAGGGTCGGGAAAATAGGCCTGTTTTAAGGCATCTTTTCCTATCTTCCTATCTTCCAGGGGACCCCGAGAGGGCTCTGGCCTGACCAGGGGCTGCACTGGGAGCCCAGAGCTGTGGGCACTGCTGGTTGGAGACTGCGATCTCCCGCCTCTTCCCAGGAGCGCCCAGGAGCCCCAGCCTGGAGCACAGGGCCCTCTGAGCCCAGGGAGCCGGTAGAGGTGGCGTCATCAAAGAGGGCTTTGCTGCTGGTCGGCAAATATTTGTCGAGCCTGTTGTCGAGTTGAAAGACTGTAATCCTCGCTGTAATTCTCAGATCCACAGCGATTAGCATCTCAGGGACCGTTTGCCTTTCCCTCCCTCGCTTATTCCTTCCCCCACTGTTCATTGAGCTTCTTCTATGGCACCGAGGGCCGGTCCCCCCTCCAGACGTGTTCAGAGCAATGAGCACACCTTGCTGTGAGGCATGGCACAGGGGAGGCCCGTGCCACGGCTGTCCCAGCGGGTCCCGAGCCCTTTGCGTTCAGCTAGTCCCTATCAGGTGACAGTGGACACTCAGAGCAGGTGCCCGGCTTCCTTTCCTCGTCTAGCCTCTGCCTGAGCTACGAGACCCGGGGGCGCTGCTGGGACTCAGTTTCCGCATCTGTGAGAGGGAGGTGCTAACAGCGCCCACGTCACGGAGCGGCAGGGAGGGTTACAGGAGGAGCACACGTAAGGGCCATCAGGATGGTGCCTGGCACTCGTGACAGTCACAACTCCGTGTAGAGGCTCAGGGAGCGTGAGCGCCTTGTCCCAGGTTCCCGGCAGAGCCAGGACGCCAAGCCAGGTCGGGGCCCTCTTGACACCCATCCCAGAGCTTAGAGACGGCCGCTGTGCCGCTCACCAGCCGGCGGCTCTCACACACCCGGCTAATACCCATATGGCTCTAATGTGTCAAGGCCAGATTAATCCACGCAATGAAAATAAAATAATCTTTAATAAGAATACTAATCACCAGGCCTCAGGGAGCCTAGAAACCTGGAGGCTGGGCCGGGAATTAATGGCTGAGACAGATGGAGCAGCTCTGGGCTGGGGCCGGGCCCTGCCCATCAACCCAGGGTGCTTCCGAAGTCCGCACGTGCCTGGACGTCGGGCCCTGGGCCAGGAGGGCTCCTGCCCCTGCCGGGGACACCTTGCCCAGACCGCCTGTCACGCCGGCAGCCGCCTGCAGCCCTGGCTGCCTCCTGCTCTCCCCTACAAAGAGCTTGAGATTTGACAAATAAGGTGTCCGCCGGTGGACGACCAGAGGAAATTAATTCTAAATCAGATTTTAAACACAGTCAGGAAGGCAAAGGAGCGCGTCGTTCATGCTCCCCTCCGAAATGAGACTGGTATTTATAGAAAGATGATTAGGGCCGCGGAGGGCGATTTATATTCTGCGTCCAGGTGACAGGAAGGACGGCAGCCAGGACTCCAGACTCCGGGCTGCTACTCCCATCATCACCTCCACCAGGGATCTCTGAGGGGTCCTT